AAATATTTTATGCACCATCATTATAATACTACAGAATTTTATTTTTGGTATGTACATATGTTCCCCAGAGAGTTTCATATTTGTCATGGAAGATAAAAACTGGGCTTTGGAAAGACCCTAGAAAGTCAGATGTATGAATGCATGTGCCACTAGTTTAATTCTCTTTTGAAGAAGAATCCAGGAGAGAGGATTTTACCACTAAAGCCATTATGCTGTATCAGGAAGGAGGAAGAGCTTTGGTGTGTAAATGTAATAAATTTTCCTTTTCTTTCTATATGGTTCTTTGTGTTGTGCTCATCTGGGGTGCTATAAAATATTAAACAGTTATAAGCATTCTCAAAAATCATGTTTGGCAGTATATTTTTAAGTTAATATATCTATGAAGAAATTAATACCTGTAGTATTCTATTGTACTTCCTTACTAATGTGCTTGGTATAGTTTTATATATTCAGTTTGTGAAGTATATTCACCTTAGTGTAATACGTGAGATAATTATTTACATTTATTTCTTTCAGAACTGTCTGACCATTACATCCAAGACCTTTTGCCAGAGCAGAGCATAAAGGATTCATTTCAAACAGTGACAATGAGAAAATATGGAAGCTATGGAGTTAAAAATTTACACTTCAGGAAAGACTGGGAAAGTGTGGGTCAGTGTAAGAGGCAGAAGGTATGTTACAAACTAACTCAATGTTTGTTAAGTACCCATAGGAAAATCTTTGAATGTAATAAATGTATGAAAGTCTTTAGTAAGTCTTCCAATCTAGATACACATATAAGAAATACCATGGAGAAAGCTTTCAAATCTAATGAATGTGGCAAAGCTTTTAATCACAGCTCAAATCTTTCTGAACATAAGAATATTCATACAGGAGTGAAACCCTACAAGTGTGAAGAATGTGGCAAAGTCTTTAAGCAGTGCTCAACCCTCTCTATACATAAGAGAATTCATACTGGAGAGAAACCCTACAAATGCGAAGAATGCGGCAAAGCCTTTAACCAGTGCTCAAACCTTTCTATACATAAGAGTGTTCATACCGGGGAGAAACCCTACAAATGTGAAGAATGTGACAAAGCATTTAAATTGCGTTCAAACCTTAAAAGACATAAGAGAATTCATAGTGGAGAGAAACCCTACAAATGT